TCCAAGAATCCGTTTCTTAATATATTGCCAATCAATTCTATCTGAGTTAATTACGGCTCAATTCCTTGTTACCATAAATCTATTTAATCTTGAAAGAACTCTAGTTCCCCGATTATTCCCCAAGAAAACATGCATTAAGATCAAGAATTACAAGATTGCATAATTACCCTATGTCTATTCCTATTCCTATTCCAAGATCACAAATATTATGATAAATTATCAAGCCAAGGTTCATGCACCAACATCCCTATTGTCATACAATTCCCCAAAGTCATTCTATCAGGAACAACCTCATAGAAAGAATTAAAAATAGATAAATTATTCAATTATAAAAAGAACAAGATTCAGAGACAATTTAATTCATAAACGTAAAGATTCAATTGGGTTCCATCTACCCTTAACTACATAAAAGACTACTCTAGCATACTGAATTGAAAAGAAATAATAAAGAAAAGATAACCCCAAGCCTCCATTGGTGTGATGTTGACTTGGTTCCTCAGTGTTCCAACGCTCCGCAACAGGATTCCTCCTTCCGTCTTGGTGTAATGCTCTGGAATTGTGTATTGGTTTCTGAATTGGTCTTGACCCCAAGATCTTTATTTATAGCTTTTTGGGGTTGTATTCTTCATTAAATCTCCAATGAATCCATATCAGATTTGTGGTTGATTTCATCTTTGTTTCCTTTTTGCATTTGATATCTTGGAGATTGGCTGACGATTTTGAGCTTCAAATCTTTGTTGTATCTTCATCAAATCTTCCTATTGGAGTTATATCTTTTCCAAATCAAGGTTGATGTGTTTCCTCTTTATATCTTCATGGAATCTGTAGCATATCTTGATTAAATCTTCCCTGGAGTGGGCTTGACCGTGCATGGACGTTTTAACGTTCACTTTTTTCACACTAAAACGTGCTTCATGTGTATTGTTGTCTGCCTTCACACGTTTTGGCGTGCTGTTTAACATTTAAACGTTCTCTTCGAAGGGAAATTGAGGTTGTCAGGGCGTTTTAGCGCTCTGTTGGGCGCTAAAACGCCCTCTTCTAGTGGATTTTGGTGTTTTCTTCATCTTGAGCGTTTAAACATGATTAATGGACGCCAAAACATCCTCTTGCAGCTGGTACACACTTGAAATCTTGCTTCCTTGAGGCTCCAACTCAACTTGATGTCTTCTTTTGGTTCCAAAGAGCCTTAATAGGTGTCAAAAATCCCTTAAAATAAGAATTATGATAACATGTTAGCACTATATTCAATTATTGTGACTTTACAGTATAAAACCCTAATTCCCATGCAATTCATGATATATATCAAACATAATTAAGCCTAAAAACATGGTAAACCAAGGGTTTATCAACCATTCCCAGATTTGAACATTGATGTCCTCAGCAATGCAGTAGAATAAACTTAGTGGAATCAATCAAGAATTTTAATTGCATGGAATTCATAAGCAAGATTTAATCAGAGAAATTACTACTGAGGATTCAGACTTGAGAAAAGGATGATACATCAAAGCATTAAGATCAATAATCCATCAGTAGAAACTTTTAATGAAATTCCTTAAGATCAAGAACAGGGGAAACTTCCTGAGACACTCCCTCACTAGGTTTACAATTCACTCACGCTCAACTGTTTAGAGGGTTGGTGTTTCACTCATATCCCACTGAATCAGACTACCATAGGCTTGCTCATATTCTAGCTCTCCACAGTAATAGTAAAGTATTCAACAGATCAAGAGGTCTTTATTCAGGTTGTAACTTGGCCTGGCTAAAGGGGAAGGAAAATTTGGAGAAAGGGCTCTGAGATTAAAATCCAGATTTTGAAGAGGAATGGATGTAATTGTTTCCAATTTGTCAACAACTTTCTTTTTCTTGTCGTTCGTTCTTCTTCACTTCGTTTTTTTTTGGACTTTTTCTCATATTTGTCTTTCTCTTTTCTCAGACAACTCTTCTTTCTTTTTGTTTCTCTTTTTTCCTTTTCCGCTTTCTTTTCGAGTAGTTTTCTTTCTCTTTTTTTGTTTCTTCTTCCTTCCAACCAACCTTATTTGGTTTTTGCCTTTCTTCCCTGTACTTCCACACATCATTATTCATATATTCAATTAATGAGTACTTGTCCTCTATCTGAAATTCAATCTCAATTAAGGTGATGAGTGTATGGATAATGGCTTATTCAATTCATAGGTTTTCAGAGAATAAACAGGCCTAGGCTCAAAGTGGTTAACTAAGGAATAACAGTAATGGTTGGCTATTTGGCCATCTAGTTTAAAGAAAGAACATGCCTCAATCATATCTATAGAATAAATCACATACTAATTCAAGCCAGAAACAAAGCAAGTTTTAGAGTCTTTCATCAGTAGAATGCACACTCAATAAAAAAAATTTGTATAGGCTCGAAACCTTACAGCTATGAATGCACAGTAATTATCCTGTTCTTTTTCTCAAAACAACTTCAATATAAAACAATATATTAGATGAACCATGTCACTCATTTGCAATGATGCTCATAAAAAAATTGTATAAGTGCATCATCATGCTCTGAATCAATTACTAATTTCAATTTCCCACCATTTTTCCAATTAACACTGAGAAACTTTAAAAAATTTCAGAATTTTCACAAAAAATTTTGGCTTCGGGTTTTTCAACAAAAACAATTAAAATTATCTAATTAAACATGAAAAACAAAATTTAAAATGCAAGAAAAAAAATAAGCTAAAGCAAAGGAGAAGAGATTTGAGATTGTTCCCTGTTTTAGCCGGATATTCTGTGTATGCTCTTGAAGTTCCTCTGGCTTAATCAATTGTGCTTAGATGAACCATGCGTTACCCATTCCCAGATTTAAATTTTGATGTCCTCAACAACAGATTTAAATCTACAAAGAAATCGTGTGATAAAGAAAACAACTAGTTGCTTTCTCTTGTTGTTTGTTCCCTTTTCTTCACCTGTAAAATTCGCTTAATGATAGACATTAGTCTCAACACCTTCTCCTATCTTTTTGTATTTTTCAAAGTAAAAATAACTAAAATAGTGAATTTAAAGTAAAACAGTAAAGTGTGGGTCTGCCTACCCATTAGCGCTTGTTTTACGTCACGAGCCTGACGTACCTGATTTTCATGGGGACTCAAAGCATGATCTTGGTGATGACCAAGGTCCATCATTTAGATATTGTGTCCTACCGTAGTGCTCTTCTGCATATGGATGAGGTAAAGTAGTCTCAGGAACTTTGAACTTGACTTTTACATGCTTTCCTTTGCTCCTCGACTTTTCCATATTAACTTTTGGCTTACTTTCTTGAGAAGACTCCTCATTGTGTTCTTCTTCTCCTTTCTTTTCACTAATAAAGTAGACTTGATCTTTCGGTTGAGCTATAGATGAGGGGACTTCTTTGTCAAAGAATTTGAAAGTTGCTTGCTCTCCGTCTACCAATAAGATTAGCTCACCTTTAAGTACATCAATCAGCACTCCAGAAGTTGCCAAGAAGGGTCTTCCGAATTGCAGCATCTTCCTCTATTTCAAGGATGACAAAATCGACAGGAATGATGAATTTGTCTACCTTAACCAATATGTCCTCAATGATGCCACAAGCTTGCTTTGTAGAGCGGTCAGCAAGTTGCACTATCGTCTTAGTGGGCTTTACTTCAGTAATCCCCAGCTTCTTCATCATGTAGAATGGCATGACATTGATGCTAGCTCCAAGATCACATAAAACATTGTCCACTTCCATTTTTCCTATAGTGCATGGAATGCTGAAGCTCCCTGGATCCTTGACTTTGGTAGGTAACTATTTTTTGATAATCGCATTACATTCCTCCGTCAAATTCACCGTCTCACATTCTTGCAACTTACGCTTCCTTAATAATAGATCCTTCATGAACCTTGCGTAGTTGGGCATGTTCTCTAAAGCTTCGGCAAAAGGAATGTTGATCTGCAACCTCCTGAATATGTCTAGAAACTTTGAACACTGTTGCTTCTGAATTTCTTGCTTTAAACTCTGAGGATAAGGGATTCGAGCATATGGGGAGAGATCTAATGTCTTGTTCTGTCTTTCTAGAGCTTTCTTCTTCTCCCACTTGAATAGTTTCATTTTGGCTTTTTCAGGATTGCTTTTGTCAACTTTAATTGTATCCTTTTCCTTTTCTTCCTTATTTTCTTCATCTGATTCTTCTCCATCCTTCTTCTTTTATTTGGGTTGCTCCTCTATAGGTTGAATCACTGTCCCACTCCTAGTGGTGATAGCATTGCAATGCTCCCTTGGATTGACAACTGTGTTACTTGGAAAAGTACCCTGAGCTCTCTCAGAAAATTGCTTCGACAACTGGCCAATCTGAATTTCCAGATTTCTTATGGAAGCTTCTTGATTCCACTGTGCTGCTCTAGTCTCTTGCATGAAAGCAGATGTGTCCTCTCTGAAAGCATTTTCACCTTGAACATAATCAGAAGTGGTCTTGCATAGCTGTGCAAAAGCTTTCTCCCACTCAGAAGTGTTACTTTGTTGTGGGGTATGTGGTTGCACTGGAAGGGGAGGATTGAGCTGATTATTGGATTTGTGACTCAACCCTGGATGTTGATTCTGATTCTTCTGATCATACCAGAGTCCATTGACCTCTGCTGGTGGCTTTTCAGTTATTCTCATGTAGTCACAATCTTCAGTTTCATGAGCCTCTGCACAAATACCACATTTAATATTAGAATTATTAAACGAAGAAACTTGAGAATAATTAAATTTTTTTGTAAGAGCATCTAATTGTTCTTGTTGTTTCTTGTACATTTGCAGCATTTGTTCTTTTTGGGCTAAAAGCGCATCATAGCCTTCGAGCTTCATAATTCCTACTCTTCTTGGTGCAACTGGGGCAGGGGCATTGTCAAATTCTTGAGACGCTAAAGATTCCAACAACTCTAGCGCTTCCTCTGGAGTTTTTGTTTTCAGTGATCCTCCTGCAGCAGCATTCACCAGTGTTCTTGTGCTGGATGTCATCCCTTGGAAAAAGATTCTTGCCTTCTCCCATGCTTCAATTCCATGTTGAGGACACTTCCTAAGTGATCATTTGAATCATTCCTATGCCTCGTACAAAGATTCGCTTTATTTTTGTTCAAAAGCTGTGATCTCCGCCTTGAGTCTTGCCATTTTTGAAGCTGAGAAAAATCTAGCCAATAATTTTCTTGCTAAGTCATCCCAATTGGTTATGCTTCCTTCAGGTAGAGACTACAGCCAATCTCTTGCTTCATCCTTCAGTGAGCATGGAAATAGCCTGAGCAAGATAGCCTCACGAGGAACTCCATTTACTTTCAATGTATGACAGTAAAGTAAGAAGTTATCCAGATGACTATAGGGGCTCTCTGTGCTTCCTCCAGCGAACTGTTCTTTTTGAATCAGTTGCAGCAGTGCCGGCTTCAGTTCAAAGTTGTTAGCCTCTATGTTAGGTCTAACAATGCTTGCCGTTTGTGGAACTCGAGTTGGGGTCATGTAATCTCCCAACGTCCTTGGAGCGAGTTGATTGTTTCCTGCCATAGGTTCCTCCTTTGGTTCTGTCAAAGTTGATGCCTTTGTTTCCTTCACTTTCTTTGCTTTTGATTCTTTCCTAAGTTTCTTTTCTGTCTTTTCTATCTCAGGATCAAACTGCAGAATTCGCGGGTTAAGAGTGCCTCGCATAAACTAAGATTGAAAAGATGTGCAGAAAAATAGAAAAAAGACAAAACAGAAAAACCGAAAATAAAATAAAATAAACAATCAAAGAATGCAGAAAAATAAATATGCAGAAAATTGATGCAGAATTTTAATGCAGAAAAATATTTTTGAAGAATGTATAAAGTGAAGAAAATTAAAACGACCAATCTAAAAATTAATTAGTTACTTCTAATGTTGAAGAATTCGATCCCCGGCAACGGCGCCAAAAACTTGATAGCGACTCGGCAAGTGCACCGATCGTGAAAGTAATAAAATGTACTGAGTACGAGATCGTTCCCACGAGGATCAGAATTTCAAGAACTAGTTCACTAATTGCATTTTACTTGGACAATCAAAGGTTTGGTTTGAGAGAATGGTGAATTTAGATGAAGAGAATTGTTGTTCAAAGAACTTAAAATTAAAAACAATTAAGAACATGCAATTATGAAATTTCAGAATTAAAAGAATGAATGTGATGATGTTTGATTAAAATTTAAAAACAAGCGTAGTTTAGGTTTCGACTTCCCGCAATATCCTCAATATGTTATGAATTAAAAAGCCAAGAATCCGTTTCTTAATATATTGCCAATCAATTCTATCTGAGTTAATTACGGCTCAATTCCTTGTTACCATAAATCTATGTAATCTTGAAAGAACTCTAGTTCCCCGATTATTCCCCAAAAAAACATGCTTTAAGATCAAGAATTACAAGATTGCATAATTACCTTATGTCTATTCCTATTCCTAGATCACAAGGATTATGATAAATTATCAAGTCAAGGTTCATGCACCAACATCCTTATTGTCATACAATTCCCCAAAATCATTCTATAAGGAACAAACTCATAGAAAGCATTAAAAACAGATAATTTATTCAATTATAAAAAGAACAAGATTCGGAGACAATTTAATTCATAAACATAAAGATTCAATTGGGTTACATCTACCCTTAACTACATAAAAGACTACTTTAGCATACTGAATTGAAAAGAAATAATAAAGAAAAGAGAACCCCAAGCCTCCATTGGTGTGATGTTGACTTGATTCCTCAGTGTTCCAGCGCTCCGCAACAGGATTCCTCCTTCCGTCTTGGTGTAATGCTCTGGAATTGTGTATTGGTTTCTGAATTGGTCTTGACCCCAAGCTCTTTATATATAGCTTTTTGGGGTTGTATTCTTCATTAAATCTCCAATGAATCCATATCAGATTTGTGGTTGATTTCATCTTTGTTTCCTTTTTGCATTTGATATCTTGGAGATTGGTTGACAATTTTGAGCTTCAAATCTTTGTTGTATCTTCATCATATCTTCCCATTGGTGTTATATCTTTTCCAAATCAAGGTTGATGTGTTTCCTCTTTATATCTTCATGGAATCTGTTGAATATCTTGATTAAATCTTCCCTGGAGTGGGCTTAACCGTGCATGGACGTTTTAACGTTCATTTTTTCACGCTAAAACGTGCTTCATGTGTATTGTTGTCTGCCTTCACACGTTTTGGCGTGCTGTTTAACATTTAAACGTGATCTTCAGTGTTTTTGCGTGCTGTTTAACATTTAAACATGCTCTTCAGTGTTTTGGCGTGCTGTTTAACATTTAAACGTTCTCTTCGAAGGGAAATTGAGGCTGTCAGGACGTTTTAACGCTCTGTTGGGCTCTAAAACGCTCTCCTCCGGTGGATTTTAGTGTTTTCTTCATCTTGAGCATTTAAACATGATTCATGGACGCCAAAACGTCCTCTTACAGCTGGTAAACACTTGAAATCTTGCTTCCTTGAGGCTCTAACTCAACTTGATATCTTCTTTTGGTTCCAAAGAGCCATAATAGGTGTCAAAAATCCCTTAAAATAAGAATTATGATAACATGTTAGCAAGATATTCAATTATTGTGACTTTACAGTATAAAACCCTAATTTCCATGCAATTCATGATATATATCAAACATAATTAAGCCTAAAAACATGGTAAACCAAGGGTTTATCATAAATCTCCTATATATACATGTAGTGCAGTAAAACAATTATGTATAGGTGGACTTAGTGAATTGACTTCATTAATGTGAGTGACTTAGAACCTGATGAATTATTGGAAAATATGAACAGGTATGCTTAGGTACGAGTTTGAATATTTTATGTTTGATTAGAAGTTATAAGTCCCAGATAGATGGGGTACATTTGAATAAATTGGGATGGTTAATGTTGGTTGCTCAGAGGTTGTTGGATGAAAATATAGTATAGTGACAACGTTCCTCAGTTTACTAAGAAAGAACACAAGTGTTTTCTTAGTTCAACCCAAGTGCGCAAGTGCACGCATCAAGTAATAAATGGGAGTATTATGCCCAGATTATCGTTCCCACGAGGATAGAACTCTAATTAGTGTCTTATACTGTTTTATAAAGAATGAAAATGAAGAGGAAAGTTAGTAATTGACCTATTTGGTCAAACATTCTCTACTCTCTTGACAACGTTCCTCAAGGACAATAGGTTCAATCAGACATCAAACAGTTAATCGCTTCGTTATGTATGTCAACCTTCTTGTTTAGGGAAGGAACAACAATATTCATGAGAGGTTTATAGTTACAAGATTAAATAAAGAAAAAAATACAAAAAGTAATAACAATAATCAAGAGACAACATGGTGGATGGTTTAAAAACAATAATAATAGAAGGAATGGATCCACTGCTCCATTCATAAATAATTATTTTCTCTACTCAAGACTCAACACTTAAGTATTTGTTCCAGTTTCTTTTCTGCCAACGTCTGATTCCTCAGTTTATGGACTAGATGGCTCACAAGTTTCCATATTCCTATGGCTCCCTTGACTCTAACAGGTACTTAGTGCAGAACCTTAAAATGAACGAAGTGGCCCCTTATTCCTAAGGCAACCAGCAATACTGTTTCCATAGTACTGCCTTCCCCCTCTGGTTAAGCTATCTGAAATCCCTTCCTTATGGAAGATTCTTTCTCAGTATGTGTTCGATTTCCAAAGATACACAATGAAGATAGAACACTTAACCAGAGAAACACAAAAGCTGTAATACAAGAGTTTCGAAAATAACTTTTTAAGAACTTTGCAATTTTTTCGTTCCACAGATAGTTTAGCCCTTAGCTACTAGTTTAAACATAATTATTCCAAACTGAAGTCCCATAGACCCGAGATGCAGTTCAGAGATAACGAGTGAAAAGGATAGAAATAACACTTGTATTTAAATGAAAACAAATTGCTTACAACAAAATCAAAAGTGGAGAAGATGGTTCTTGCTCGTGAGGAGTCTCAAGTGGGTGATACAGAAAGAAGAAAAAGTGTTGTCACTTAACTAAACTTAAAACTGTACAAATAAAAACTACGAAAAATAAACTAAGTGATCTCTTCTTAAGGAATTCAATCCCTTAGGAATTCGATGGATGTCTTCGTGCAGGAACGTCCTATTTACAGGCAAAAGAGTGAATGGAAAGCTTGTAAATTCTTCAGAGTCGATTTCTTGACTACATGAAAGGGGCGGTGTGAACAGTGCTTTGTGGGGCGCACATGGCTGGATAGGACAGTTTTTGCTGAGATTTGTCTTTCCTTCTGAACCTCCCATGCCTTGCTTTCCTTTTCGTCCAATAGGAACCGTTTATTCCCTGCTACGCACCTTTCTCCTTGGTTGAGTGTTGCCCACTTGTGCTTAATTGGAAACTTCTTTTCAACGTTTCCTGAAAAGTGGTCAAAGGGTTGAGTGAGTGAAGTAGGTGTAATAAATGTTCCAAATCCGTTCCTCTTTTTATATATTTTCCATAGATTACGTCACCTTCCGTTCCCACCTGTGTTTTTGTGATAAAGATAGGAAATATGTGTTTTTAATGCTAAAGTTGCTCATCAGGTGAGGAACGGATGGTATTTTGCCATCAAAATGGGCTTAGATGGGCACAGATTTTCATCCTATCAAACATCCCAAAACTAAATTGTTGGTTGTCCTCAAACAACTCAGAAATAGTGGCTTAGGCTGCTGATGGGACGTAAATTCGTTCCCATCTAAGCCCATTTTGATGGTAAAATACCACACGTTCCCTCATCTGATGAGCAACTTCAGCACGAAAATCACTTGTTTTACACATTTGTGACAAAAACACAGTGGGGGAACGTATGGTAACGTATTCCTTTAAAATATATTAAAAGGGGAATGGACTGATACGCATTTAATGCACCTGCTCCACTCATTTAATGCCTCTGTACACTTTGCAGGTAATGTGGAGTTAAAGTCTTCTAAAAGCAAGGCGGTGCACCAACTGAGCAGCTGGAAACGTGAAGAGCAGAGAATCAAGAGTTCTCATTAGCTGAAAAAGAAAGCAAGGCATGGGGCAGAATGCAAACAACGACTAATCATCACCAAAACATGTTCCATCCAACAATCTGCGTAGTCTCCACACACTGCTGCCACCATCCCGTCCTCTCATTCGAGCAACTTGCTCTAAAGG